GATCAAAGAGATAGCGAAAAATGGAAACGTGAACGATTATCAAGACTTACAGCTAGTAATTTTGGTCGCATTAGTAAGATGCGACCAAGTACGAGTTGCAAAAATACTATATACTCTATTTTGTATAATAATTTCACTTGCAAGCAAGTATAAAATATTGATGTGTTACATTTATTTAAATAAATAGATTCAGGAAAATTAATATTTTATAGATCAGTACAGTATGGTAGAGATATGGAAAATATTACAAAACAACATTTTGAAAATATGTATGATCATCAAATAGTATCTTGTGGTTTATTCATAGATCTGGAGTATTCATTTCTAGGTACAAGTCCTGGTAAGTCTATCATTTATTAAATTAGCCATCAGTTAATAATTTATCAATTGATGATAACATTAATTTGCAAATATTATTATTTAGATGGTATCATTGATAATTATATTGTTGAAATTAAAGCACCATATGTAGCAAAAGATACATTAAATAAAAAAGAAGCTATAGAAATTGGTAAAGTGTCAGTAATATAAACAACAATTTTAGCTTTATATTTTCTTAATCAATAATAAAAAATAAAAATGTAATTCTTACCTATTCTGCCGTCGTAAACAAAAACACAAAAAAACAAATCACCGGGGAAAGTAAGAGAAAAACGTGTTTTTGTATTGAATTTTTCTATGATTTAAGGCGTTTTAGTTGATTGACTATTGGTTGTATTATGTTTTTGAGTATTTCTTTGTACCAATTTTATTATTTATATTAATTTCTTTATAGATAAAATACTGTACAATTGTAAATGGTAAATTAAAACTAAAAAGAACTCAAGATTACTTTTACCAAATTCAGGGACAGCTTCATATAACACATAGGAATATGTGTTATTTTATAATATATACAACCAACTGGATATCAGTTGAAGAAATATTTTATGATCATGATTTTTGGTCATCGAAAATAATAGATAAATTAAAACAGTGATTTTGCTAATTTTATTAAAATTAATAAATTGTTATTATATTGATGGGTTTTAAAACCTTTTTTCTAGTTTTTATTTAAAATGTTTACTACCCGAAATAGTAGATCCAGTTTTTAAACATCGTTTAATGATATCGGACATACGAGAACCAAATAAATGTGTGGCAGAAACATCAGCAGTAAAATTAACAATCAAAACAAAATTGTTTTAATTAATTATATTTATATAATAACTGTATTTGATTTATTTTAAATAAAAGTTTTGTTTCTTTGCCATAATAATTAAATAATTACCAATAGATAACACTATGGCTTTTTAATTAGTTCTATTTTACTAAAGGTATTATTGAATTATTATTATGAAATTCACTCACTACAACCGTTCATGAAATAATAATGCACGCTTCCGCAATAAGAACTAGGTAGATCGAAAGACCACGTTGGACGAAAGACAGTGGGGGTGACAAAACGTCGCGTGTATGCGGATCGCGAAAACACTTAACAGCGCGTTCTCTCGGCCGTTGCACGCGTACACGTTTTGGTAACACGTCCTCTTAAGTCTTTTAATACAAATGAGTGTGTTGACCTATATTTCAGTGGTACCTACTATACCTTTGGGCTCTATCTTAACAAAATGTGTAGGTATATTTAATAAATTATTAAGTGTAAATTATCAAACATAATTTTAATTTTTTATTTAATATTATAGTATATAAGTTCCAAAAGTTTCCCTTGAATCTCATATATTTTTCTCAGATAGCTTCAATTATTTATGTTTCGTACTTTCATAGTCAATTGTAGCTGTTATATGATTATAAAAAGTTTTTGCACGAAAAATGTAGAACATTTTATTTTATTTTTTTCTATTACGAAACATCATATACTTTTTAGCAAATATTTTAAAATAAATTACATTTAATTTGAGCAACATTAATTAAAATACGGACCCCTTAGACTTACATTTTAGGGCTACATTTACAACATTTCAGGGGGCGCCCGGGCATACACCCCCTGTGTGTACACATATGCTTTAATAATATATTTGACATTCCATTATTTAAATAATTAGTAAGCTCACCGTTATTTAATTTATTTAATATGTATATGTTACGGGTAATATGGATAATCCAGTATTTTGCAAAATGCCTGGCATTATAAAAATTGCCAAAAATCACTCGGCAATATACATAATACGAGCTCTTCCTAGGCATTTTGTGAATTGGCAATATGAAAAAAACTAACAAAATTGGGCATCGCCTATTACCAACAACTTTAATTATCGTTTATCATAAATGTGCGTTCACGATTTAACCCAATAAAGATTAACATTCTTTTACTACTATAATAATAATTCTGAGGTACAATATTGAACGTACTAATAATTTTATTATAATATCGTAATTTTTTTCGTCATTTTCGTGTCTGTCTCGTTTTGGTATTGCAGCTATGCATACAATTTATATAAAGTCAATTTTTTAAAAACAAACTACAAATTTTTTTAAAAAATTTAGCCACTAAAACTAGTTTTTTATCTGATGAACAGTATAATGAGTTGATAAAATTTAAATCCACAAGAGTTGGCCAAGGATTTTTAAAATGTATTAGTAAGTCTAAGTGTCAAAATAAAAAGTGTATTTGCCTTAAAAATAACATTTTGTGCACTTCAAAATGTCACTTTTCTATAATATGTTATAATAAGTAAATAGTAGTTTAAGTAAAATATTTATATAATAGTAATAATATAATAATAGATAAAATTTAATTTTGTCTGTAATATGACTAATAATGTAATTATAAGAATATAACATAAATATAATATAACATAAAATAAAATGTTTTGTAATTTGCTTAAAAAAAAATTGGAATTTTGCATATTACCTGAATCATCCATATTTCCGGTAACATATAGAAATAGTACCTAGATGTTACTAGTATTGGAAAGCAATTATCGAGTAACAGAGGTCCTTTTCGGGTAACGAGTTTTATTGATCAGTAGAAAATGTGCACAGTTTACGTTCACAACACTCTAGGTAAAAAATTCCAATAACTAAACATATCGAATTCAAAGTTTCAAACGGAAATAATAGAGCTTTAACGGACGTGCGGAGTTTTATTGGCGATTCAACTAGTTTTGATTTTGATAATACACCACCTAAAGCGATTGTAACAACGCAAACGGAAATTCGTACACACATCCGTACTTAGTACACACGTAACGTGAGCAAATCACTACAGATCACTCTATATCGCAGTCGTGAGACTAAAAATTAATAATACAATATAATTTATAACGTACAGTGATTTTAGTGAGACAATAAATAACAAAAATTGTGATTATTTAATTATATAACGAAATGCAGTTTATATTGTTGATCGAAAGTTTTCATACACAACTACGGCGTGACACTATAGGTACCTATATGCGTAAATATAAGTAATATATTTTACATCGGTTTGTCTGCATATAGGTACGCGTTAACAATTTTTTTAGTTTAATTAAATCTCTACGTGTCTAAAAAAATGTTGAACAGTAATAAGTGTGCACATGCATACATACATGCATATACACACAATAATATGCACACACAGTCAACTTGTCGCTGCTATTAAGGAAAGACAAAAAAAAAAAAGATATACAAAATTTAAATCGCGTTTTATTTCGACGACCTACAAATACTTTGGCGTACTTAAACATACTTATTATAGCTTACAACGAATAAGTTGCGACTACATAATAATATGATATACGATATTTATATTTATTTATTTGTAATTAGACCATACGTTTAAATATTATGTAGTTTAAGTATAATAAGGCGAATTCAATACTCCAGAATGTTTTAATTCAACCATTGTTTTACATATGTATGGACCTTTGCATCAATAATATAATATGTTACGGTCAAAAAACAACAATAATGTACGTAATCCAAACGGTTATGGCCGATGGCGGATTGTTTTTCCACAAATTACGGATATTACCGGATATTTACCGGACGCGACGTAATGTTCACCACGTCCGTTTAAATTTTCGATAAATTCGCTACTACCTATTGCCATGTATGCAAGTGTATATACCTAATACAATAGTAGCGTAGAAGATGGCACTAATAGCAGTAGTTTTTTAAAATAATAATAAAAATAATATATATATATATATATTTGTTTATTTTTTACCAGTACAACGGTGAGTTAATGGTACTCAGGTATTACGCGACGTAATTTTCGTTTTAATGTGCAAACGCGGAAGATACTTGAATACGTCACCCGTCGCAGTACTTAGTAAAATTGTTTAAACTACACATTATTACTACATAAACATACAATGATGCGGTAAACGTTGAGCCGATTTAATATTTTAAATTTACTACAAATGATACTTAACGATAACCTACAAACACAATATAATATTATCAATGCAGGCAATAAAACCATTCTGGAGTATTATTCTTTAATTTTTTTTTTTTTTTTTTAATACGAAAAGCGTCGTGGCTCGTTTCCGACTCTGTGTTGCTAATAAAATAAACTACATGTGAAATAACAATATATATCATATCAAAAGTATTAATATATACATACGCTTAACGAAAACATAAGTAATAATTATTTTAATCAAATATTAATTTATAATTTCGAAAAAAAAAATAATGAAAACTATATTATTATTTACACAAAAACCAATAGTATTACGTTAAGTATAATAAAAAATTTAATTAAAACTACAAAACTAATTTGTTTTTTTATTTCTGTTTGTTTGTTTCAAACACTTCTAAGGTTATTATTAATTTACTTATATTAATTCAAATTGATTGATAGATAGTACAACATACAATATTACGTTATAAATAATAAAATAATATTGTTTTTATATATAATAGTAGTAATTAAGAGAACACATACATTACACAATACGCGAATTTCTACAATGTGTTGTCAAAAAAAAAAAAAAAAGGAAAGTGTTAATTAAATTATATTTATTATAAATGCAACGTCGGCGGCAGCATGTGAAAAACGATTTCCGTAGTAAATTATCAATATTTTATTATTAAATAGTTTTTTTTATTCAACAAGAATCGACAGGTATCATGCCATCTCGCGAGTGGAAAGAAATGCATATACATATTACAGATACAAATACACAAAAGATACGTATTTCGTTTAAACACGATTTAAATGATTGGTCATATTATATATTATGTATCATATACTATGAAGTTCGAATAACATTGCGACAATGTAACAATATAATATATAGGTAATGGTTGAGAGGAAGAAAAGTGTAAATTTATCGTAGAGTTAAATTTATTAATATTATTATTATCACCGTATTTTTACGTACGAAAGTTTTTTTTCTTTTTTTCTATATATTTTTTATTAATTAATTAATTTTATTTATTGTACTATTTTGTACTCGGCGATGTACGCACAGGAGAGCATAACGTTTTATAATATACTTAATACGATTTATAATAATATGCGATATAATAACCTGTATACACTAAATAAACAACATTGTTAACGATGAACGACGGGCACGCGTCAGAATAATAAAATTTGATTGATTTGTTATTTTCATCTCTGCGTCCATTTATATACGATAAACGACGTTAAATATTACAATATATTATACACAACTACAACTAGCCAACGAAACTACCCCCACCCCTATATGTACCTATTGTGTCCGTAACGGGCAGCGAAATGTGATTTTTATATTTGTATATTTATGTAATATTATAAATATTATAAATTATTGTTGTTTGTATTTAAGGCACGTAACGAGATTTCATAATATATTATAATATTAGCAATAACATACAATAATATGCTCATTAATACATCACTGTATAAGTAGGTACTGGAAATTTCAGATTTTTTTTTTTTTTTACTGTTCGCGTCATGCGTTTCGAATAGGTTCGCTATAGTGACGACTCAGCGTTGAAGGAGACGCGAATTTTTAGTAAAAAAAAAAAAAAACGAAAATCTATTAGAAAACAAATCGTGCGACGCGACGGTCACCTAAGTATTAAAGCGTATTAGCAGGCGACCGGAGGGGTAGTTATTCTTATGACACTAAAAATATATAAATTTATTTATATTAGGTATATCGTTAAAAAAAAAAAAAAAAAGATAATCATAAATAATCAAAATAAAATAAAAATTATAAGGCGAGTCTCTATTACACAAAATAAAAAAAAAAACATAATGAACAAAAACGAATTAAGAAAGCACTTGTGTGTGATTTGTAATAGTTTGTTGGAATTAAAAAAAAAATCAAACATTATTGTGTTTTTAGCAACGAGAAAAAAAACAATTATAATAATAATAATAATAATTTACACGGCCGTTTCCGTATGGCTGTGCGACGAAAGACGTTCCACGTCGATGTGAGGGACGCCGATCGCGTTGTCGCTGTCCGCGAAATCAATGGATCCGCCGCCGCCGCCACCGCCGGTGTTGGACGATAGTCCGCCGCCCGCTGCCGCGGACAGTCTCTTCTTAAAGCATGGCTGGTTGCGCAAAACTTCGGCCAGCGACTCGCCGTAACGTGCGTCCAGACCCTGCCGGAAAGCGTTAACCACTCGTATCTGTAGAGATTGGGGAAAAAAAAAACAAAATTTTTATAATATTAAAATAGAAAAATAATTTTTCGAAATACTAGGTTGGGAAAAAATGAAAAATGAAAAAAATAAAAATAAAAGAAATATATACACGTCGTTATTCGCGCATACACTTCGCAATATTATAATATATTGAATATTTTTAGCAATATGATAACGTATACGTAGTATATCATACCGCGGAATAACGACGCGTTAATGCTCTACGCGTGTGTGCGCATATTATATAAACGATAATGATGATATATTTATATAAAATAAATGGTTAGTAAAAGAATTATAAAAACTCTAAGAATCAAACTAAAATAATAAAATGACCTAACTATATTATGTATTATTATACGTATGTAAAAAAAAAAAAAAAAAAACCAAAATCGATGATGATACATGTTATAACAATATAATACGTAAGAAAAATACATATACATAATATATGTGTGGTGTATATGAGAGTATGATATATGTTATATATATATAAATTATATTATATATATTTATGCAGCGTATATGTCTATATAGCGGTTGTAGTGCTATAAAATGCATACACGTCGACAACGACTATATATATATATTGTATGTTATATAAACGCGTGTTACTAATACGACAAACAACGCGTTAGTGTACATTTAAATAATATGCAAAACAAATATCATGTGTTTAGACAATATTACAACTATATGTTATGATGTATAATGAAAATTATGTTATATTAAAATTTAAAATTAAAAAATAGCATCAGCAGCGGCTTATGGGTAGCATCGTTATAAATATATATATATGCTCTACATAACTTACTGCGAAGAATGCGATTGAATATTAGCATTGTTAGTGTTAGTATTGTAACATAATATATCACTAGTCGTTGTTTTTTGTGACACGTATAGTTATAATGTAAATTTAACTTATATGTGTGTGTGGATTTATATTGATTATATGATGCGATGTAAATATTAAAATCGTATAAAAATATGTATACAATATAAAACGATGATGTTGATGATTAGGGCGGTAAGTACATAACATTGTAGAGCAGTGAGATGATGGCGTTCAGGATCGGTTTTTCTCGCAGTGACAGAGGATTCGTTATTATTATGTACACGTATTATATATAAATATATATGATGGATGGACAATACGGGTATATTGGACTTACGGGGTTGTTGTGAAAATGTATGTGTTATGACATGCGAAAGAAGAGTTTATGTAACATTATTTTACAACGAACACAGTATATATTTATTTGTGGTAACGACACGATGCAAAAAAGCAGTAGTTTTTCGTTTCCGCCCTTTACGGTTGTTGTACAGGCTGCTGTACGTACAAGCACGTTTAGTTATTTACACATATTATGTACATGCGATCAAAGCAAATTTTCAAAGCGACAGCTATAATACACATATAGTATATATTAACAGTAACAGTTACATAGTAACCAATTATACACCTACATGTATAAATATACAGCGATGACGGTGTAAACACAGAGAGTGTTAAGAGTATGATAGATAAAATACTATATTCCGTGCAACTATTACAAGAGTGTAGTAGTGTAATAGTTATATAGTAGTAGTGTATATGGATGGTAAACAATAATAAAATAATGGTAGTAGTGCAAAGAGTATGAATACTAATTTAAATACATACATATATAAAATATTTATGAATGTACTATATATTTATACTATTTATTTATTATGTACATAAATATATTTAATGATGACTAAATAACATACATTTAATATTGTCGTATAGATTTTCGGAGCATGTTTTGTAAAAAAAAAAAATGAAAATTAATCATGAAAAACGCGCGCATGTGTGAAATGTATTCTTCTCCGAGTATAGTATATATTTATATATATATATAAATATATATACCTACTTGGGTATCGAAGAGCGGGATTTGAGAGACTTGCAGGACACCTGATACCACACGCCCCCGCTTAAACGCAAGTATCAGCTTTACTCTAGAATGGATTATTGTTTTTAGATTGTAATCGTTAACAAATCATTAGTACTATTGAGGCCCACGTGATTATAAACGCTTGAATACGGTAAACCATACGTTATGACTGCGCTTTGGCATCGTACTGTACACTATTGTACACTATTAGTTACCTATTCATATAATATATAAATATTTATAAATGAATAATAAAGATATAAATAAACAATATTGTTACTTTCCATCGCCGGTGCGACGATAACGATATTTATATATTTCATCTACACCTAATGCAGCAACGCATTGCAGTTATCTCGTCGTAAACCACACGACGAGTTTGCATGTATTACGTGCATTACGCACGTGGTAATACTTTCGAAACGGTCGAGGATAACAACAATCATTGATAACAATAATATACCTGCTAATTTGGTTAGTAAATAACAAGCGTGTTAAATATATATTTTTTTCCAAGTGAGTTTTTACCACCAGCGTAGTAAAAAAAAAAATAAAAAAATGTCTATATAATTACATACTATAATTATTATAATATAGTAATCGCAATGTATAATAAAAATATGAGTCTTGTAAACGTGTGACGTGTGTAAATTAAAAAAAAAAAACTATTCAACATCGGCAACAGCTATACAAAATAAACACCATCGTCAAAATTATTAATCATCCTACTTTAGGTATAGGTAACAATTTTATCAACAATAACAATGATACTATGTATTAAAACTAAAAACTATAAATATGTATATATTACACATATATATATATGTAAATAGATGATTATATAAATACGTAGTATAATCTATGTTATAAATTAATAATACTATATAACAACAATCTTAACAAATAATGCCTAACAAATAAATGATAACAAAAAAAAAAAAAAATGCTTTCATCGATTACCGAAAGATACTGTGTCAAACAACTGACTGATGATGATGATGAGCAAAAATTGTATTAAACTTTACTGTATGCGCATGCTATTTATATATATAATATATAAAGGTACATATATTTTATGAGAACACGCATACGCGTACAACTATCACCTATTTTTAATACTTAATATTATAATATAAATGTATATATATATATATATGTCCTAATCGTATTAGATTAATTAATACAATAAATATCAATTAAATTCAATAAACATAGTATCTACGCGCATTAATATATGAGAATAATGATTGTAATGACGTACATAACGATTTAATAATAACAGTGACATCAACGACAATGAGGGAAAACAGCGTCAACAGGAACACGTGGCACTATAATATGTATACGTATAAATAAATAAATATAAGTATATATATTAATTATTTGTGTAACAAATACAAATATCATGTCCTCTGCCGACCGTCTATAAACTCGACTTGACTATTTATGCACGCGCACAACTAATCGTCGTTAAATCTAACAATAATAATATATATATATATATATATTTATTTATATAACGGTAGAATAATAATAAAAATAATGATAATTATAACGTATTGTCGTCAAGGAAAGAGAACGATATTTACCTACTACAAAACTAGATAAACAAAAATAATAATTATTAACTTAATTAAATTGTAATTGTATTAGTACGTTAAAATTATGATGATCACACCTATTATTGTTATACTGTAGTATAAAAAGCAGCAGCCATGGCACGTGTGAACATGACATAGCTACTGTGGGACACACACACACGGTTTAATCAGTGTCGGAATCTTGCAATGACGTCGGGCGCATGTGTCAAGTCGGTGGTTGTCTTGTTCAAACTTGTCTACTATTATTCTTCACGGCCACCTTTGAACAGAATCAACAATCGCCACAAAAAAAAAAAAAATTGGATTCGTGTAAATTATTATTGAACGAAAACGAAAAAAAAAAAAAAGTAAAAGAAAAAAAAAAACCTATATGAAAAACGGGGAAGAGCAACAGCAGCGGAGACTCAGTTTAGAGCAGCATCACCACACAATTTAATATTAAATATTATGCATTAAAACACAACAATAAATATTGCAATGCGATAAACATTAGTGTTTTGTATTTTTAGCGTCATTTATCATAATAACGGAATGTCATGAAACCATCGTATTTTGAACGTATGCTTAAAATAATATAATGCATACAACATAGACGGTGCGTCGAACACATGGTTAAGTTGTATTATGAATACTACACAGAATGGGCACGACTTTAACGGCACGGTGGCGACCGTCGTCTCCATATATGCTACATACATGGAGACAATAAATTATATAGTGCACACCACGGGGTAAATAATGTATATTATTTGTTATATTATTAGATATTCTGTAGTACGGAGTATTGTAACAGCCATTGATGCATTGATGTATTGATAAAACAATTTACGAAATATGACGCATTATAATGAACTTAATGGTTCGAAATTTGTTTCAATATTTTATACAATTAAATTATATAGTATGTATATTAATTAATATTTAATAAATACAATATTCACATACTACAATACACATGCGCACACATCCCACACCCGCCGTCCACTACACTCGATCGCATGTATTGTACTATAAATACTGCTATCTTTATCCTTTTTATTAAAAAAATAAATAAATAAAAATCAAGAATCTGTTAAATATAACAACGTAATTACAATGGAATTTAATGAAAAAATGAAAAATAAAATAAAATATTTTAGGTAAATAGAAGAAATAACAACGACAAATTACCTAGCAGTAATAATGAAGCAACCGCGTTAATTAAGTTAATGATTTTGAAAATATATAAGTAAAAGAATAATATTGGTATCAATAGCAGCAGCAACACCAAAATATCAGAGCAACAACAATTATATATTACATATATATACCGCCACACGCAGAATCCATGTTTGACTTTATTGAAACATAGTTAATAAAAAATACAATCAAATACAATATTTACGAAAATATTAAGAAGAAATGAATTAAAACAGACAACTGAGCATAAATATTTGTTCTATGACAAACTATTGGACAACACTAT